AAACTTGTATAACTTTTTTATTTGTTCTTCAAATTTTTCAAAATATATATCAAAATTAATAAAATTTTATGATCTTTCATATGACACCAATATGTAATAGAACTCTTCTTGTTCTACACACTTTTGTACACACTTTGTACATTTATATGTGTACACAGACAATTGGAAGTAGGGCTGCACAAGAATAACCCGAACCCGCATAACCCGCCCGACCCAACCCTACCCTACCCTATTTAATCGGGTATTTGATTTTTAAAAATATTCATGGGTTAAATATGATTGAACCCGCACCTAATGGGTAGGGTTGCGGAATTAAAATCTCCAACCCGATAGTACCCGACCCGGCCGAAGTTCATTTTACTATTATTATGCTACAATGTTTTCTTGGATAATTTCAATTTAAGACCAATGTGCTCTATCTATGACTTTATGATACTAAAATTATAATTAAACATTTACCATTTTGACTAGGTGATTATTATATATTTATGTTTTCTTCTAAATGATCTTCCTTTATGGAAGGATGTTTTAATACTATTATCTAATGTTTTTGCTTATAAAAGATATGAGTACTTGTGTTTGTTTGTGTGTTTTGAAAACAAACATACACTGTATATTAATATGCACCTAAAACCCTAAACCCTAAACCCTAAAACCCTAAAACCCTAAACCATAAACCCTAAATCCTAAACCCTAAACAAACAAACAAGATATGAGTATGCACCTGAGTGAAAGACGTATATATTTGTTTCTATTAATAATTTGAACTTGAGTCCTGAAAAAGAATTGTGTATATTTATGATAGGAACCCAACGCAACTCGTACTTCAGCATGTCCATAATGTATTCAAAATTTAAGCCAATCTTCATAACACGGTTGATTTAAAACAAACAAACCAATTTAAAACAAGTTAATCGAGTTTTAAATAGGTTACATTAATCTCCCACATAAAGATGCAACCCGAAGTGATTTTTTTTTCAATACCCGACCCTACCCGACCCGTTCATGCATGGTTACCAACTTATTTTGCGTACCGCGGGTTCAATAATAGCCAACCCGAACAAATCGGGTAGGCCCAAAAAATATAGCAAACCCGACCCAACCCGCCCGATGTGCAACCCTAATTGGAAGACAAATGCTGCCTTCTTCTTAACGAACTGCCTGTGTGCACATAAAAAATAGGGGGGGGGGGGGTACAAAAGTGTGTACAAATAGATTTTTTGTATGTAATATATAAAAGGAAACAAAAATTCTTAAGTTTTAACCGTTGAAGTTCTCTTCAGTCTAAAAAACGATGAAACACAATTTTTTAATTCACGGAGTCTTCACAAATAACTGAATATTTTATAATCGAACATTACTTGAACTAAGTTCATTTTTTGTTAACGAAAAAAAATTAAAAAATTAATGAAATTTATTTATTTTTACATCGAAATGTGTATTTTTTATTTCATAATTATTCAGGGGAAAAATTAAAAGAAAAACATTACTTATAATAATTTAATTAATGTTTTATTAAATTGATATGTAAAAGAATGTGCATAGTGTATTTTATTGACGGTGCTGGAATGCATAGAAATAGGAGTCAAAACACTGTATTCATATGGACGGAATTCATTTTTTACTTTTACTCTCGAATCACTCCAATTGGTCTTAGAGCATCTTTAATGGGAGTGTGGATTCAAATATGTACTCCTCACTAATTTAGAAAGTATATGGAGCTGACGTGGACACGTGAACAGTTCAAATAATATTTTCTCTCCGATGCATATATGCAATCCGTAGAAAAAGTGAAATTCTCTTAAAATTAAAAAAAAAAAATAGAAAGCTTCAAGTTCTGAAGAAGCGGAGACTTTCACTGGGCTAGGCACCAAGGTCGGCCCAAGTGTAGCCAACTTCATGGTGACTTTGGATCCCTCCCAACCTTGTCATTCATTTTCTCTTACTTAATCTAGGTTGGCCCTTATTGTCATTTGGATAAATTGGATTGGACCGATAAATATTACTCCCTCCGTCCCATAAAATAAGTCTTATTTTCCTTTTTGGGTCGTCCCAAAAAATTGTTCCCATTTCCCTTTTTGGAAAGTTTTGTGTGACTAACATTCATTTACCTTTTTCTTACTCAACCACAACAATACATTTCCACTTTATTCCCACTTTCTTAAACTCCGATCCAAGTCAAAGTGGGACTAATTTTCCGGGACGGAGGAGTAATTGTGTTAATTCATAAATAATGTGTCGGATATATATTATATAATAATCTTACTCTTTTATTAATTCATATCACTTCTTTATATTACGTCCCTCGAGTTTATAGACCCTCATTTTGGCACGTCTCTACGCTTGCTACCACAATAGCCATCAAAATATATTTCCACGAAAGTAGAAAATGTATTTTGTATAGAAGTGACCATGATAGAAAATGTGATAATAATATACGAAGTATGGATAATTTAAGGAAGAATCAAGAAAAATGATATGGAGTAGTGGGAGTACTAAGTTACTCTCATGTCTTCAATGAATCAAGTAATTTTTTTTTTTTAAAATTTTGCTGGGATAAAATTTGTTTATATAATTTTTTCTGAAACAAATACTCCCTCCGTCCCTATATAAAAGTATCCATTCGTTTTTCACACATTTTAAGAAGGTGGGACTGATTGGTACTGTTTGGCACTGTTTGGACACTGTTTGGCACTGTTTTGCACTGTTTTGTTTGCCAAAAAAGGAAAGGGAACTTTTATTTAGGGACGACCCGAAAAGAAAACAGATGCTTTTATTTAGGGACGGAGGGAGTAGTATTTAATATAGTCTTATAGTCATTTAAATGAAAAACTGAACATAAATTACTATGACTTAAATTATTATTTTAATCATAAGTTTATAATTATTTTGGTAACAATTACGTTCAAGCATGTAAACAAAAAAGTATAATTATTTTTCAAATTATTCAAAAAAAGCTGGTATAATAATTTACTGTATGACGTCTACGTACTATCAGTTGCATTTAAGATTTAATCTACTCCATGATATATTGCCAGCTGCTTTTGGCTACAATGGGGACATAATTTATTTTAATCGAGCACTAATGGAGAATATATTAAATTTAAATGTTCATTATAGGGAGCCTATGCCCCCACTACCCTGATGGTACATTTTCTTACTACCCACAAGGTACATGCACTCTTGTGTTTTTGGGAAGCAAAAAAAAAAGATTTTTTACCCATTGATTGCAGTTTATGGAGAATTAAATTTTGGTCGGATATAGATATATTGCTGAACTGTTGTAGTAGTTAATGTCGTTCGGATGGAAATAAGAAAAAATTTAGCTTGTACAAAGATAAATAAATAGAAAGAAAAGAAAGAGAAATTAATCGGAGAAAAGTTAATAATACAGCTTCAAAGTATTTTTCCTAAAACTTAGTTATAAATTCCAATAACAACGGTATCCAAATCTTAGTCTTAAAAGAGTTTGGGATCGATTAACATATCATGAATCAACATATGAAATCAATCATCCATTCGAATATCTTCTTCAATTTCACTCTCTCCAACATCATACTTTCATATATCTAATCCAAGAAGCATCATATCAATCATAAGTATTCTAATTCACACCTGTTTGGATCGTCATCTGCCCCTCTCCCCTGCCTCTGCCTCCCACCTTTCAATTTGTCAAACATGTGCGTCAATATATCAGCCAACGTAACATGTGCATCAAAGTCACACTCATCTTCTGAATGTGGTGGCCTTACTTCATTGCCCAACAATAGATGACATACAAGTTACAACAATGGAGGTCTAATTGTCGTCCGGTAAAACTTACGCTTCAGTTTAGTTGATATACCTCGATCGCATAGAAATCTTGACTCATTCTTACGTTTCTCCAACATGTTTTGATTCTATGTAATACATCCTCATCTAGTTCACTGTCCTTCTCAATTATGGAACCCAAATAATGAAATATATCACTGACACCTTGAATTACCAACTAGGGTAATCTGACTGTTACCTACCTCCACCAAACGTGCACTCCATCCAAAAAAAATTAAGCTATTTTGATGATCACTTTTGGTCTACTCCCGTGCAAGCACGCTTAACTTTGAAATTCTTGGCTAATGAGCTCCCTTAAAAGGAGATGCACCTTGTTGGTATGAGTAGTACTATTAATCCATTTAAATTAAATCTCAAGTGTTACACGGTGGACTTTTCCAAGTACAAAGTATGTGAGAAATAAGAATAGTAAAAATTGTGTGATTGAGATTTGGACAGAGAAGAGACAAATGTGCAGAATCACAAATTAGTTGCTTTAATAGAAAAGTGACAAAATTTTTTGGGACAACCAAAAAGGAAAAGTTAGTAAAATACAATGAGACACTTTAATATTCTTCAACTAGTCCCTCCTAATCACTTTGATATGATCTAATGGCTCAGTTATTTGGGTAGTCAATTTATTGTCTAAACTAACAATAGTGAGAAACTTTTGACATTCGTTTGCACATTCTATCACATTAGCTAAGGTAATCCTTAGAAACTATCACATCATACACTCAAACAAGCACATGCGTTTGTGTGAAAAAAAAGAAAGGATCCAACTATTTCTAGGCACATGTGGACAGTGACATTACTCACATGGACAGCGTTGACCAATCCTAAATACTAAAGAAGCAGTAAAAAATGACATCATTTATAGCTAGTTTTCTGAGCATATTTAGACTTCAACCATATTTTCATTTAAAAATGAATATGACACATAAAAAATGAATGTGACACTCCATCTGCTAAAAAATCTAACAGATGAGGTGCAAATACACACACATGAACACACATGAATGTGAAACTCCATTTGCCAAAAATCTTTTACATTATGAGCCTATGAGGTGCATATACTAGTTTCATGAACCAATGGCATGCAAACATTCTTTTTTTAAAACCATAGATGATAGATCCAAAGTGCATTTCGGGAAAACCCGAGTGTAAAATCAAATTCTCTCTATAATACTCCGTATTTGTGATCTATGCCACTCATAAGCTTTTAACTTGCAAACTTAATGACAAAAATTTGTAACATGGAGAAATCATTATTCTTTCCACACAAAAAATCCCCAAGGTCTTCACATATGAATTATAATGGCAAGTCTTTATTCAATCAAGTTTTGTGCAAACACTACAACTCCATTACATCTAAACTTTGCTTTAATTCCGTGTTACTATATATATGTGTGTCGAATCAAGTACGTAGTCGTCTATGCCATTTGCACGTCGTTTCTTTCTACAAATAGAATCAAATGTTTATGCATTTACACTCTCATGTGACCAGTTTTCTTTCTACGGGCACCTGCAAAGAGATCCAAGTTATACAAAACCAAAGAAAGAGTTGAGCAAAAATGAAACTTAGAAGACCAAATCAGCTTACACAAATATCAGCTAAGACATATAAACTAACACAAGGGCCATAATAGAATTTACATCAGAGAAAACTCAGTTATGGTTCATGATTATTGACTTTATTCTATATAATACTTGGGATACCATGGAATAGGTTTATGTCATGGAAGTTTCACTCACATTAGCTTAATATGAAATAACAAACCAGAATATAAGATCTTATATTGCACCTATCACGATAACCTTTTACGATGTAACCTCAAACTCTAATATGGTATGAGTCTACTTAAGCCGTTAATTGGTTCCTTTGGGAAAAAAGTGCATGTTCACATGGTCTGTCGGGCCGTGGGGGTGTGCCACTAAGACACGAAATAAAAAATACAAATTGCGATGCTTAATCGTGGAAAATTAATAATATTTGTCTCACATCGGCTCAATAAAAATAACAGATCATGTCTTGGAATGCACCCACCTACAGTCAAAATGATCTTTTATAATTGATACCCCTAGGTATACGGAGTATAATCTACCAGTTTAGCTCGCCAACATTCACGAGGTTTATGAGAATGCTACAATTTTATCCTATACTGGAGACATAGGATACTGACTTACTAAATTAGTCAATCCAGCTTTACAACACACAGATTGGATGTGTGTGTGTGTTCAACTAACATGCCAAATCAAATAAAGAGGGGGATAAGTCATTAGAATGAAAATGAAGTTTCTAAAAGTTGATATCTGACCATATAGCCATTTTAAACAATGTATAAATGTAGCTAAATGGTAAAGTCCAGTATGGCAATAGGGTCATTCAATTAGGTCAAAATACACTTCTTCTGCCAAACCAGAATGGCAAATTGAAACTAATCAATTAGCTAACTGAATCCCAGGTCTTACTAACCCATTATTTTCTCTTTAAAAACCTGATTTGGAAATCTTAAAGGTAATGTCTACGCGTCTTGCCCCTCTTGCAATTGTATGCGGCTTAACGAATGCCATTTAGAATGGCAATCTGAAGAAACGGCCTCACTAAACATAACCATATTGTTTTGTCTAGACTAGATACAAGAAGTACACCACTATGCTTGCCAAGTGCTATTACTAACTTACTAAGTTACTAGTACAAACTGTAGGTTGTTTTAACTTTTTACCCCTCTGAGAGTCTCTGGTACACTGGCAAAAGAAAAAGCTAGGCCACCAAATGGTCCTAACAGGTCATTTGGTTGGAGGAGGAATCTTTTCCCTTGTTTACTCCATCCATGGAAAAGGGATTCCACTGTTCAGAAGTTAAGGGTATGTTTGGATCCCAGAAAATGCTACGGAAGGAAAGAAAACAATCTACTAAGAGTTGTTTTCTTGTATTTGATTTTGCCAACTAAAATGCAAAAGGAAATTTAAATATGTAATGAGTTTTTTAACATTAGTCTAGATTTCTTCTTTGTCCTTAAACAATAGGAATAGATTGGATCAATAAAGTGAGTTTGAACAAATATTAAGACATTAAATTATTCAGTGAACAAAACTTTTATTGTCCTCACTTGTATTTTCCTTTATTTTTCTTGCCCTAGCATTTTACGCTAGGGCAAATGAACCTTAAGCTTGCTCTTTTGGAATTGGTTTTTCATTCAGTTTGAGAAAAAAAAAATTCTTACACCTTTGTAGTTTAATATATATTCATTTCGGACTGGAAAATGAAAAATAGATACGTCAGGAATGAAACACATTCAGAAAATATCAAAATATACATTAATTTTTTAGAAAACTAAATGTAGGGGCATCTTAGTATGTACCTATTTATACTATTGATTCCTTAATCATTCCAAGGTAACCAAAAAATAGAATATACACTCCCCCCAAATTTCCATTCCTGCCCAAAAAATATATTTTCCCATTTTATTCGCGATATATTTTAATCCCGAGGAATAAAGACCTTATTCTGTTTAGTTTTGTCTGGTTTCTTTTCTCTAACTTACCAGCAGAGGTTTTGCTCCAAAGCACCCGACCATCAATTGCTGAAAGATTTTTATCATCCAAACGCTTCCAAGTCTTGATAGATTTCACATCTCCCCATACTCCTTTCTCGGTCTTTTCCAAAGTTGCTACTACCATTCTTGCCCTCCTTGCCCATCCAGCTTTTCCGTATGCATGATACCCAAACCCACCAGCATAGCACAGATTAATCCCCAGTAACTCACCACAGAAATCATTGATGTGATCATGCCCAGTGAAAACTGCCTTCACATCTCCAGTCTCCACCATTGTTGTGAAGAACCCAGAATTTACAGAAGCAGAACTAATGCCTTCCTGTTTGAGGCCAGTGAAGTTTGTCGAGTCAAACGTTGCAAATTCAGGCAATGGGATATGAAAATATACTAGGCTTGGTGCAGAAGTCTTCTGAGCAGCAGGACCGCTCTTATAAGCCCTCTGCATTTACAAGAAAAATTAATCATATTAGGAAACTCAACCTCAAAAGAGGACAAAGAGATGTGAAGATGGTTCAATGCTTATTAACAAATTCATTTTGTTAGTCTCACATCGGAAAGATAAAACAACTAAGAGATTAGACTAAACCAAATCCTGAACATATCAGATCAGCCTGCCTACTTCCAGTGGACCATAGTGTGGTCTGTGGCCAAATTACCTGCATCTGACCAGACAAATACTACTGTGATATTAGCACATTGCCATAAAACAGTGGCTCATGGTGTCTTTCAGCGCAGATGCCGCATTCAAGCTTCACTTTCAGTGAGAGTCAAATTAGAAGTGAACAGTCGTGTAGGTTCAACTGGCTAGATTCAAAATGAGCAGTTGTCCGCTTCATGCAGGATTAGAGTCTTAAATCGCACAGGTAAATAAAACATTGATGGTTTAAGAAGATTTTGAGTTGAATTAGACCTTCTTTGGACTTGTTTGACCTGAGCGTATTAGGGCCACTTGAGCCGAACCTAGTCCTCAATTCTAACAGATTCAATATATTTAGAAGATATGCAACACTTTTCATTATTTGAAAGTGGTGCTTAAAAGGCTTAACCTAGCGCACTACATAGCTGGGGAATAACAAAACATAACATATGTCGTGTGGGACATTATTAACACATTCTTTTTTAAGTAAAAAGGTACTGAGTATAAGTACAACGGTAACCAATAGTACGTAGTGCACAAAACTAGCACGAAACTTACACATGCTTAGCTTTGTGCACAAAACTAGCACGAATCTTACACATACTGAGCTTTGTGCACAAAACTAGCACGAAACTTACACATGCTTAGCTTTGTGCACAAAACTATCACGAAACTTACACATGCTTAGCTTTGTGCACAGAACTAGCACGAAACTAGCACAAAACTTACACATTCCATCTGTTGGCTATCAACTCAAACCTTCAAATTTAAACATACTTCAACTATATTGATCAACTAATTTTCTATTTTACAAATTACGAAACATTTTCCCATCATTTGCAATGGAGCCAAAGACCAACTATTTTTTGGCTTGGGAATATGATGGAATAAAGCAAAATGGTTCACTAAACTGATATTGTTCTTTATTATGAAGCAACAGTCAGTCCATGCAATTTTCGATGTGATTCTCAGTATGGGTCATCCGGAAACCGTCTCTTTGTGCTTTAGTGCAGGGGTAAGACCCCCCCTTACCCCACCGTAGGTGGGAGCCTTAGCGGCACTGTGGTAATGATGATGATGATGACAAATTACGAAACATACACTAATGGTCTCCACCTCCAAGCTAAGTCATGTACCAATGTACGACTTTGATTCTTTGAGCACAAGCACTGACCTTTCACCATGATTACTTTTTGTTAAGAGATGAAGTTCATTCCACCACCCAAAATGAGCTATTATATTAGAATCTTCACAAAGAATTGTTTCTTCAATCGAAGATTCTGTGAAGAAATCAATGAGTGAAGGAGTAGTGATAGAAGTGTTTTCCACTTCTTCTTTATTGATCATTATGGTCCAAGGTGATACTCTTAGTGGGAGATTTAGATATTTATAGGTTTCATCCCACTTCACCTTGACACAATGCCATTCTGAGTTTGGCCATTTATTTAGATCAACATCTCCAACCTCAACAATATCACCATATGCCATTGTGAATCCCATTAGATTAGGATATGCATCTCTCCTTTGGTATTCCATTGTGATTCTATTTTGATCACATGGTTGAAATTATAAGCCTTCATGTATTCGTCATACTGAATCATAAACTTTGCAGGACAAACATTATTAACACAGTCATATACAGTTTTGACATTTTTAAACAGTAGTTTGACGGTACCTGAAGCTTACGAGAAGCACGTTGGAACCAAACTTGTTGTGAAGGCTTAATCCAATTATAACCAGGGATAGAAGGGACATTAGAATAATCCCCGCTATCAAGGAAGAACAAATTAAGAACTGATTTATTAGCCAGTTCGGAGCCATTAACCCCATGAACCTCCAGATTATAATTTCCAAAACCATCAATAATATCATCATGAAGCTCAGTGGGATTCAACTGAGATAAAGTGTTCTTCATGCCAACAATGTGTTTCATCACTCCTTCTCTTGAAAGTGTAGATTCTTGATCATGGTTACCCAAGATTGCTGCCCAGGGAGTGTTTGAAGATATAGCAGGGGCAAATGCAGCATTCATAGATTTTGCAGCATCAGCGGCATCAAATCCAAATATGTTATCCCCTGGATCAAATTCATTTTCTTCTTAGGAAATTTCACAAAAACTAAGGAATCAAAAAGGACCAATTAGATACCCTTATTTCTGATGTGTTATGATTCCCTTATTACATGGTACTTTGCAACCTGATGCACTAAATCTTCTTGATTCCAGTACTCATCTAGAAGATAATACTTTGTAAATCAATAGAGCGAGTTGGAAAATAAAATTGGAATTATATGTGGAATTCGTAAAATGAGATTGCTCCAAATAGGAGTAAAACATAGAGAAAGGTGAATAAATAGGAATAACTATGTTTTATTTCGAAAATAGGAGTTATTTGGTTCTATTAAACGTATAAAGCATCCCAATTGGGAGCTGCTAAGTCTTATTTTAGGATGCATGTTCCCTCGTTGATAGTCCTATTTGCCCCCTTGATGCATGTTCTAGTCCTATTTGAAGAATTATCTCACTTCTAAAACAACAAATAATTTAGGACAATAATTGATTCTCTGTACATTTCAGTCTTTCTTGATACACCATACCGCGTATGAACATTATTATTCCGTACTACATTTGTTCCTATGTCCATGGAGCATTAATTGAATTTATCTAAATTGACTCTTGAAAATTGAATATGACAGACATTGGAAAACATGCTGTATTAAATACAGAGTACTAGTGAATTAGTACATGAGGATAAAATTTGGTAAAAATAAAAATGAATAAATACCTTCAAAGACAGTAAAGAAAGAATCATCAAATTGACAATGAATCTTGGCTTATTGAATGAAAAATATTGAGATGGGGATGTTTTAGATACGATGAATACCTATATGAACATCAACTATTTTTGTGTGGATAGAATCTATTCATGTTTTGTTGGCCGCAAAAGATCCACTCAAATTGCAATAATTGTATTATGCAAGAAAATATGTATTAGATTCTATGCCCAAAACCACAACTGCTCTATGAACGGTAAAAAGATACAAACTTTACCTAATTCGCCAATAAATATTGGCTTATTAAGTACAGGTGGAGGGGCATTAATCAGTATTAGTACTATACCAGCTGCCCGGCAGCACAACCGACGTCGTTTGACTGGGGTAACCTCGTTAGCCGTCGAGCCGGATTTTGATTTTCTTGAAATTCCGGTAGACCCACGGACGGGTCGCGGAGAAAGAGTAAATAAAAATGGGTACCTATGAAAACGATGAGGTGGGGCTTTTCGGCAAGAATCATGCGGCGGATGAATGCGGTGGTGTTGAGATCAGAGCAGTACGGCACCTGCTGCGGCAGAACGTCCTGGCAAGGAGTGACTTCGCCGCCCGCAAAGTGCATGTCCGCCACCTGAAGTATCCGAAACTCTCCATTCTTCGCATCAAATCTTAGTCGCCGCCGCAACTCGGCAACTGCGACGGAGGAATGTAAGGCAATTACCGCCAAGGCCAGTGCTAGCTTCCATCTTCCTGGCTTCATTTGGTCTGAAATTTAAACGACGCCGCAGACTTGTTAGGCTGCTTCACAGTTTTTGTGCTCGGAAATATTGTGTACATTTGTCATCCGATGATTTGTATTGAAGTAAATCCCAGTAATAATTACATTATCCGTTGAATTTCAAGTTATGATTTGGACGGTTTTAACCCTTGAGGAAGTAGGAAGAAGTGGTTCATTCAAGCGAGGCTCTTCATATCATTTTTAATTAACCCATACCTAATACGGAGTTAAGGGCCTGTATTTAATGCGTCAAAAACTGGTGGCCGGTGATATACCGGGGGTGTTTGTTGGGTATTGGTCGTTAGCTTTTAGCTGATTGTGTTGACCTATAGATGATAGCAGGTCAAATTAGTGGTTTCAATTAGCTGATAGGATTAGCAGTTTGTCATAATGTGTTTGTTTAAATGATTGTTTACAATTAGCTGATAATTTGTTAAATGATTTTTAAGAACATCAATTAATTTTTTATTAATATAATTAGTTCAACTAATTAAACTGTTTTTACCATTTTTTTGAAAGGAAATTAATTATATTATAGCAATTAAAGATAACAACAACCCCACGATCAAGAAACATCAAACCTTATAAGGTTCCACATAACCTTCCGCTTCTCAGCTGTTTTTACTATTTCAAAACTAAAAATGTATCGACACGAGTAATATTTATTTTAAATCTTTTATCACGAACTAATAAATTAAATTACAAATAATGATATTTTGATTAATTAGGCTAGTCAATCTCTTTTTCTTTATTTAATAATCCATAAGTAGAAACACTGAATTCCTTCCAATGATCGGAGCTCGATTCTTCTCGGACAGATCCTCCTGCAGCCACCACGCGAGGTATATCCGTATATACTAGAAGAGATATATATGTATATATTTGCAAATCAGAGAAGAGAGATAGCTAACCTTTCCCCTAGTATTTTTTTTTTCTCTGCGGCACAATCTGGTATGGTTTGGGGGAGATTTTTTTTTTTCTCTTGATTGGAAGATTTTTGTGGAAGGGAGATACGGAAAATGCTTGGGTAGTATGGTAAAGATGCGAAAAAGCCATTAGCAAACGCTGGGTCTGTTTGGATAATAGCGGATTCATGAAACCGCTGTTTTTTTTAACTTGAAACCGCTGCTTTTAGCGGCGGGTGGGTGCAGATCCGCCGATAAACAAACAACACCGCTAAGGTTTTCGGCGTTTAAGATTTTGGCTGTTGGACTCAAAAGGCCGATTCAAAAAGCCATTTAACCAAACACCATGTTGGTTGTTTAAGATTTTGGCTGTTGGACTCAAAAGGCCGATTCAAAAAGCCATTTAACCAAACACCATGTTGGTTGTTTAATCTGGTCAAAAAGCCAAATGCGAGTCGAATCGGCCAAAAAATGGCTGATAGACTCCTAACCGGCCAAACAACCTCACTATACATTTTGGGTGATATACTATACATTTTGGGGGGAAATTATACTTTAAATACTTTTTACTTGTATGATCTTATATATAGATATAGGAAATAACTATTATATATAGTCAATTTTTTGGATTCGGTGAATAATTGCTTGTATACTACTATACTTCTACGTAATTGATACTAAGAAAATTTGCTTAGTGACATACTAAAAAATGTTATTTTTCCAAAAGCTTGATTATGACTTATCTGCTTAAATAGAACTCAAAGTCTATATATTAATCTTACTACTGCACTCTATTCAATACTTAATTAATTAGTTGAAATGCTTAGTAGCACTACCTTGAATCATGCAATTATTTTGTGGAAAAAAGTAAATACTGTGCTATTGGCGAATTAAGGCATAAAAATATATTCGTATTTGACTAATTAAGATTATACTTGGGATTATTAATGACAAATATTACATCCGATCTCTCGTGGAATGTGGAGAAGGAAGAGGGAACCAATGGACCATAAGCTTATGGTCATGTTTGACTAAATGGATTAATCGATAATATATGTCAATACTCATTTCAAGTCAATAAGTCATAGTGAACATGACTTTAGTTAGACTCAAGAACAATAAAAACAAAAAAAAAATATGGTCGACATTGGGTTGTTCCAAAACCAATGAAAAACTATGTTAAGAATCATGTTACAACGATTCCCTTGAAACCAAATAAGATCATAATACTTTGGTTCATTCGAAATTTAACAAAAACCGATATTAAAACATCAATCGAATAAAGATTAAGAACTAACCATTCTTGTAAAAGAGGAATTTTTATATCAATTTGTTAGTTAAAACCATTACATATATGCATATATGTGTGTATCAACCAAATTAAATGAACCAAGGTATACTCCATGAGTAGACCGAAGACATCCTATATATTATTGAAATGTTGGTTTATTATAAGTTTGATAAGTATATATTTTACATACCAATGATCAAACATCAACGTTGGAGACCATGAAATGTTGAACGTAAAGTTACTTAAGGGACAGAGAAAGTACTTAATTAAATAATGACTAATATATGACTAAAATAAGTGTATATATGAGACACTAAAGTGACTTCTAATTTGCAATGATCATAATATTAATTATATTGATAGTGACTTGTTTACTTTCTAGTGCAATGAACATGCCGATATAAATATATAATCCTACAGTTTCGTCCATAATAAGCTTTATTTTAGAGAAGAAAAAAACTTACAAATTTAGTTCTTCATGTAATATTCCAAAAGATTAACAAGTAAATTATTGTAAATATAATGCATACTACTCCGTCCCGCTATGATTGTCTCGTTTTACCTTATCAGTCCATCCCACTAAGATTGTCTCATACCAAATTTGGTAAAAATTGTGTGATTCTAAATCATTCTTACTTTATTCTTACTTTATTAATTCAATATCAACCACATAAACCACTTTTTATTGATTTGTGTGTTGCTCCCTCTTGTCTCATTCTTAGCGGGACGGAGGGAGTATGAACTAATAAAATATTATAGAATTATTACTAAATTTAAAAATTCATTAACGCTTCATTTCGAGTGAGTAACTAAAGATGAATAAGATTTGCAAATTTGATTTACTCACTATGCTAAGCATAGACAATAACCAACATCTTCAATTCATTGAATAATCTTAATTAGAACATTAGAAGCAGACTATTTTACCCTTCAATGTATAAGTTTTTAAGTACTAATAACCATATACATGCATTATGCATATCATGTCTAATTGTCTTTTTTTTGTTCTTTAATTGTATTTTCAAACATATACTTAAAATTTGAAATCAATTATGAGTCGACATTTTGTCTTAATCCCAAACATGTTTAGTTATAATACTTACAATTGCTATAATATTATGATGACAAAGCATCCCAAAAATGATAATCATGTTTGGGTTATAATTAGTCAATGCTTAGAAGGGAGTGAAGATATATATATATCATGCACTAAGATCTATGACCCCCTAAACAATAAAAAGGTCATTAATTAACTAAGATGTACTCCAATGTGTATTTAACTGAAATTTCAACCATGCCCACACTTCATGTCTTGGTTGATGTAACAAAAACGTTAAAGAAGTGTTTCATTTTCCCCTTATCTTCCAAAATAAAACGTATAATGTCATTCATCATTAACAATGTAGGCCGGGCATATCATAATTATGCAATAACCCTTTGCTAGGGTGCCACCTTGCTGAACTTATTGCCGGTCCACCATGTTGGATTGTTTTGCTGGCCTACACTAATATAAGTTGTAGTATAGCTAGGGAAGAGTGAGTTAGTATTATATCATGTCTATGCTTTGGACTTGGTCTTGGACGGAGCAATGATTTAATTTGCATCTTGGGGTAATTAAATTATATATTACCATTTTTCGAATTTTAGGATATGATGGCTATCCAAACTAGCTTATACATTTATTAAAAATGTACTACTATATATGCAAAATGGTTAACAATATAGTTTAAAGGCATGCAAAGATAAATGTAGTGAGTGTGAGGGGCAGTATGCCACCCAACTCTCTTGGCCCGGCCTTTGATTAAGTATGACTCTGGTCAATGGGGTAGTACAAGAAAATACTCGAATGAGCTGGCCACAAGATATTTTGTATAAACGTGTATAGAGGATTTAGTTAAATAAAAGTTATTGATAAAGGTGCGATTAAAGTTAACCATGGTGTGAGCCTCATATGAAAAATGACGATACAACTTTAAAATAATACTCCGTAACAATGATGAACCGATGAAAAAATAAAAGACGGCACAATCCATACTGAGTGTTCGTAAAGAGTGGTGTTGTTTCACACCGGATATTTCTAAAACATTGTGCTTCTCCTCCTATCAGATTGATCACAAGTTTTGACATATGAGTATAATATAAAAAAGTTTAGTATGGATATATTTGATCACCATAGTGATAAACAATCAAAATGTAAAAGATACTCCGTAAATCATATTGATTCAGAAATTTAATCAAACACATTGCGGACGAAGAGGTTAATATCGAGTCGTAGCTTGGACTAGCGTTTAACACTCTTTTTTTAATTTTTTTAGCGTTTAACACTCCTATAAATATGATTGAGAAGAATGATCTTACTTCTTTAAAAACTCCAAAAGTAGTTGAACAAAGTATAAAAACTATTAAAAGAAATTGCAAGATAATAACTAAAATTGATAAAGGATTAAATTATGACTAAGTGATGAAAATATAGTCTTTAAATATGTTAAATGACATCTTTCTACTTTTGGTCTTCCAATAGGCATCTCTAAGACAAAAATTGAACACAATTGTAATTATTAAGGTTACTATTATGAAACTATAGTTTAGTGTGGAATAGTTTTCATCAAAAAATGAAATTTGGGATTGGAAGGAAATCTACCCCTGGTCAAGAGATGGAGTTTCCAAGACTAATAAAACTCTAATCTACTCGTACTGTATATGACTACATGCAGTAATGAAATATGCTTATTTGTTTTGCAACTAATTGCACACTTAACCAGGAATTAAAGACAACATTAAATGAGAATAGGGAAATAAAGAAAAGAAAAAGGTGGGGCCCACCAGGGTTGAGGTGGGTCTTGATGAGAGGGCGCTAGAGAGTATGGAGCCCCAAAGGCAATTGCCTGGTAAGTTAGGGGGCACTGCACGCCCTTTCATGCCCATTAGTTGCCTATTTACTAGACCACATTTTCTATATAAGAACCCCATCTCCCCTCATTTCCATTCATTCATTCACTTCAACCATTA